AACTCTGTTCTTTTAAGTCTTCTTTACTAACTTTTCTCATATTGCTTACCTTATTTTAAAGAATATACATTTGCTCCTGGAAAAAAATACAGTAAATTATCTGTAACCAGATGTATGTATACATGGTGAGAAGTTTTGTAATGAAGACAACTAAAACATAATTTTTGTATCATTTTGTGTTGTGTAAGAAATATTCTATTGTTGGCTTTTTTTTTTTTTTTAAGTTTTATATATGTGCCATCTAGGTCAACACAAATTCTTATGTGGCAAGCTTATGGTAAATGATTAGCTTGTAAAGTATTTCTAAATATCTTGTTCCTGAAATGAAAGTCAGTGGCACATGGGAAGTAGGAGCTTAGGAAAAAATATGATGATTCAAAAGCGGTAAACTACCACTCTTGTCAAGTGGATATTAATGGATATTTTTAAGATGAAAAATATTAAAACTCACGAAAAACTAGAGTAAAAGTAACTTTGGTTCATTTAGGCCCTATCCAAAGGTTTCTGAAATTGATTGAAACACTTCTGACTGCTATGGGCAATATTTTTAGCTACCGGAAGAATGCAGGGAAGCAGAATGACTTGAACAAAGGACCTAAAAGAAGCAAATGTATCTGGAAAGCTCAAATCCTTATGCCACCTGTTTCTGGAAGCAGCCTAGTAGAAAACCCAGGCTTGCTCCTCTGTAAAGGACTATGTATGTGTACCACTTGTCCCTTTAGTAACCAAAATGCATAGGACTCAAATCTCTTCACTGCAACACCAGATAAGTAGATTTTATTCAAATTTGATTTTGAGACATGCTGAAAATTCTTGCCCAGGACACTTTTAAAAGCTAAGCAGACATTCATTGTGCACTGGTCCAGGACTTCCAGTTGCTTGCTTCTGCCCATCCTCTTGCAGGTTGGTTGCAGTGGAAGTCCTGATGGGGAGTTAGTAACCACAGGAGATCAATAAGCATCGTATGAGGTACATGCCTACCTTTTGTGTACCTTTCGGTTAGTATCAAAGGGCTCAATCTTTTCCTCATTGCAGTTAAGTAGAATCTGTAAGGCATATAAGTTAAAGGAATGTCCATCATTTTAGTTTTGATATATTAACTTATACTGTCAGTTATTTAGGTCATTCTTTTGTTTTTTTATGAGTTTAACAAATATGACTACAATTTTCATTTACAGTAATGTTTTCTACTTATTTTTATATTTTAAACAAGTTCATTGCTTGGATTTAATTACTTCCCTGTAATGACTGAAGCCCTGAATTGCACAAATGAGAAGCAGAAAATGCAAATATCTGTAAACAAAATGGATAAAACATGCACAAATAGAGCAAGGCCAAAAAATGGAGTGTTTTTTTTTCTTTTTCCTTTTTTTTTTAAACTACTGCAGATGAGCCTTGAGAAGAACAACCAGCATTGTTTTGGATGATATGTGGGGAATGGATAAAGTAAAAGGTCCCTCCGCTCTGTAGACAAACTTGTTTCTCAGATGTGAAAAATACATCACATATTAGTATTTAATATTCTCAGAGTGTTAGAATAATCCTCAGAATGGCTTGTTTCTAGAAGCTTTTATTAGCTAATGTTGTCTGGGCCAAATGTGCACACATGCAGTCAAAAGATGTGGCAGAAAACTCTGGTATTTCATGCCTTCTTATGTTTTTTTTCTCTAAAAAAAAGCACTTATTAATAAATGCTAAGAATCAGTATAGGTCAAATAATACTTAGCACTTACTGCAAATTGCTTTACCACACTTCATTCCTGTAGGAAAGAGACCAAAGGCTTTGACAGGCAAGCTCTGATGAATCTAGCTGTAGTGGCTTGAGACACAGCTATTCTCAGCTGTCTGCTCTTCCCTTCTGGTGAAGATAACCATCCCTAAAGCAGGTCATGTTGACCATGTGCCTGTGGTGTATGTAACTACTGAATCACAGTGACGCTTCCACTGTTTCTGCTAAATGTATGAATCTCACTTAAAGAATCGAGGAGACAGTGTCTTCAGCTCTTGCAATCAATTGTTTCTAGGGGAAGTCATGGAAGTAAATATTTTTGAACACAAGCTTTAGCACAACAGTTTCTTTTTAAGCTTTATTAGCATCATGACAAGTCATTGTAGTAGGGGTGAATGTATCTGTTTCATTTGGGAATGACAATTGCATTTAAAAATAGTTGAGTGGCACCTGGGAAGTCTGCCTCGGTTTTTAATTTCAGGATAATAATTGCAAAATTAATGGAAGATATGAACCTCAGGGGAGTGGTAGAAAGTAATACACTTACAGTAAATTTTGAATTAAAATTAAGAACCTGAAGAATGTGTGTGAACACATTCATAAATTTTACCTGATGTATTTATATATTTTCTATTGTCAGATGAAACAATCATCCTTGATAGGAAAACCAGAAAATTTGTATGTCATTGTTTTACTGACAACCGAAACCATATTCTTCCACTAAAATATAAAAAAATCACCAAACACCCTAGCAACTAATGCTTTAACAACTCCCAGTGAACCTGAAAACCCTAGTAACATACAAAACTTGCTTTAACACTGCTATGTTATTTTTTATAGCATGATATACTGAGATAATGACTTGGTGATTGTTAATAACAACACTGAATTGTCAGTTGTGCTGGATTGTGTTCTTCCTCCGCATTACTACTGTTAGAAGGCTGGTGCAGCCTGAGAGAGGAGGTGTAGATGTTCTGTCATTGCTTCTATTTTCTCTTTTAATATTTAGATCGTTGCACTTGGGAGCTTTGCTGAATGCACAATGTGTTTTTTGATAAAGGGTCCTAAATTAGATACTAATTTGTGTTGGTCCTTCATTTATGGTTGAAGACATTGATTTTTCCATGTTCAATACTGAACTTCCAACTGGAAGTTTCTCCCAGAGAACTGAAATTATGTCAAATGTCTCTAAAATATGCTGTGATGTTGTTATTAATATTCCCTAGAATGCTTGTAAATTGGGTTAAGGTGTAAATGCAGAAGTCAGATTTTTAAAGTACATTTCGCTTTTTTTTTTTTTAAAAAAAGGTTGTCACATATGCGAATGGGTTGTTTTTATTTTTGCATGAAAATGCCAGTGTATACACACTTACATTTTGTTTCTGAAATGTTTAAGTTGACATAATTAGGAAACATTAAAACTGGTTGAAATGAGACAGGGTGAGCTCTTCTTTCTTCACATTCGATTTTCAGCTCTCATGGTGAACTCAGAGCTTTTTTTATATGTGCTTATTTTAAACACTTGCCACTAAAAGACTGCAAAGGTAACAGGCTGCAAAGTGGTCGTAATTTGGTGTGATCTTTAACTTGGTTGAAATTTAGTTAGGCTTACAAATATTTATATAAAAGAGTCGTATGTAGTTTCTTGTCTATATTTCAGAAATACTGCTGTTGAAGTGATGATGGAATGATTTTTTGGATTAAGAAAGCATTACCGATCATAATAATGCATAGTGAATTGTAGCTGTAATAGCCACCTATAATTAAAATTTGAAATTCTCTCTTGATATCTGAACTCACTTGTTAGATATCTGCTGCTATTTCTAGATTTCCTGAGTGTGACATTACCTTTCTGCATGAAATGGATATTCATCAGTATCTTCACGTCACCTGAATAATAACCCTGAAGAAATACTGGTTTTTTTAAAACAAAGAAAATATTGTTCTTTAAAACAAATAATAAATCATTAGGGCACCCTGATTTGTCTGTTCTGCAGGATTTTGAGATTGCAATCGCTATTGTAGGATCATATATGCATGCAAGTGTTTGTTTTGGTGCACAAGCCATGCTCATGTTTTATGGTTTTGCTTGTCTGGAGGAAGCCTCAACACTGTTTCTTGCCCAGGACTGGGGAATTGTTAGAGCTGGTTCAGGTGCTAGCAATGCAACTGTGTCTCCGCAGCACGTTGTCCCCCGAGGGATTTTGCACCGGGTCCCCCCCTTAGCAGACAGTGTGCGTAAAATGCAGTTCCTCATTTCTCTCTAGTGTTGTGATGCTGTAGTGTTTGTAATCATGGAAATACGAGCTTTTTTTTTAGTATATAAATGGAGCAAGATTTTCTTGCAGTACCAATGTCAGCTTCTTTAAATGTCATTTTGTATGTTGAACACTTAAAACATTTTGAAACATCCGCTTAAGTCCCAACTGAGGAATAGTTTGTTATATATGAAGAGATTAAAAAGATAGAGTTGCTAATATAGATTAATTGCTCTGCTGCAAATAAAAATGACTTGTTTGAATTGATCTGTGCCACAGCAATCTCTTATGTAGAGAAAACTTGTGCATTTAAACATAGTTGGTTCTAAAAAGTACTCATGCTTTTTCTAAGACTGAAATTAATTCCCAAATTGTTAATTCTGTGAGGGACTGTAAAATGGTTGGAATTTATTAACCCATTGTCATTTATGCCAAACATATTTTAAAAACACCACTGTGCAGTATCAGGACAACACGCATTTATGTTTTCCACGTAATACTGCTTCATCAGGATTAGTAGGAAAGGCACCCTGGGCAGGTATTAGTCACTGTGGCTTTAATGGGAAAATACTGATAATTCACCTCCTTATTTTGCATGTCTAGAGCTTTACAGATATTCTCTTGTCTGAATTCATCAGTTCATCACATATTTTTGAACAACACTTAAGTTGTTTCCCCTTTGGTTCCAGGTTTTTTGTGCGGCATGCTGTAGCCTGAAGTGCAAGTTGCTGTACATGGATCGAAAGGAAGCTAGAGTGTGTGTAATCTGCCATTCAGTACTAATGAATGGTAAGTGGAAAGAGAATCTGAGATGCAGTGCTTCACTGGCTTTGTGTTGAGCTGCAGTGATGATATTTTAAAAAAAATCAAAATACTTAATTTGTATTGGTAAGTATGGTAAAACAGCAAAGGCCCTTGAGAGATCAGCATGGAAATTCCTAAACTAAATATGATTAACAGAAGGCAAAAACTGGTAAGGTTGCGATGAGTTTGGAAGCTTTAATTTGTGAGTGCTATACCAGGATTGCAGAAACTGTGATTTTTGGTGGTTTTTTTTTTTTTGTTTGTTTTTAATTCAGGAGCCTACTCTCTGTCCTTTGATGCCTGAGTGGGTAACCTGTTACACTTTTGTATGGGATGCCAAAGAGAAGAGCAATGCAGTTGTGCCTCTTCTAGATTATGTACTATAAGAAATTGGGAAAGTAGTATTTATTCACAAATTAATCCAACTCTTCTTCCTCCTTAACTCCTTGGTGCTAGAGTAGGAGGTCTTGTCTAAAAACCTATCCACAGATGCGGACAACTGAGTTTGGATTATTGCTTTGGGCACATTACTGGAGAGTCTGTCAAACCCAGGATGGTGCTGTGGCTAAAAGCCTGATGTGAACATGGGACATATGAGAGAGGTCACAAGTAGTTATGAAGTTAACAAGTAGAACAAACAAGAAGTTCTATTACCTCTGCTTGGTGTAAGGAAAGACTCTGGTTTTGACCAAAGGGCCATGGAATCTATTTCGCATTTTGTCCTTTATAGTATTAACACTTTAGATATGTGGTATAAATATGGGCAAACACAGAGTATTCTTCCCACTATATCTTGAGGCTTCCAAATATTTCAAGAACTTCCTGAGCTGGCAGTTACCTTTGGGTGATTATGCTGTCCGTTTGACTTATTTCCATGACACTGAGACAGCTGTTGGTGCAAGACTTGATGTTCAGTTTTTATGTCTTGAATTGAGAAGGTAAAAAAATTGGATTAGGTTGAGAGAGGATCCATGTGAGTGCTTAAATCATGAGAAAACCTGTCTCATCATGAGAAATTCCAGGCGCTCTGTCTTTGGTTTATTAATGGAAAGGTGAATAGGTGACTTGATCTCAGGGTATAAATATATATCTGGATAACTGAAACTTGATGACAGAAGTTATTTCAATTGTAGAGGAAGGTCTGACAGGCGCACTCTAACATGTAGTAGGTAGAATGAGAAGTTGGACAAATTCAGGTTCTAAATGCAAACTTTTAACCATTAGGATAACTAACTATCCTGATAACTATTGAACAGTTATCATGGAATCTCTATTGCTGCAAATGTTTAGTTAAACTTTGGAGACTTTGATAAAAGATTGCTGCTGTAGTTTTAACCAAGAATTAGTTAGGAAAATTCTGCTTCAGTGTTCAGACAAGGTAATTTTGATCATATCTTTACATGTTACTATATAGTAGATTATTTGGGCTGCTGTTTTCAGAAAGATCTGTTAATTTGTTGAGCATCTAACTAAACTTAGAAGCTTACAGCTTTATTTTTTCTCCAAAGAAGTTCAGTTTTATGCAGGTTTGGTTGAAAGTAACTGAGTGCTCAGTCTTGAGATGAACATCCAAAATTAGTAGACAGTTTCTGTTATTATACAGGAGTAATTTTTTTCTGTTTCAGAAAGATAATGATTAATCAGTGTGCAGTAGCAGGTTTTAATTATTAAGTCTTTACTGTAGGCCAAATGTGTAAGGTGACAGGAAATTGTAGGTTGTAATATCTAGAAATTAACACCAAATCCTGACGATGATGTTGAAGGGGTGCTAAAATATTACATTTTGAGATGGAGAAATTAGCACATTTCAAGGTGTACAAGAACCAGGAATTACACATACACCTGGCAAAAGACAGCTGGCTCCTTTTGGTGGTGAGTAGGATTTGTTTTCATCTGGGGGAAGGGAAGAGTCTGAAAATATTTCAGTTGAAACCAGAAGTGTTCTTCTAAAAAGGCATAATAAAATTGATCATATTATGATGATTTCCTTTTAAAAGCCTTTCTGTCCTGTTGCCAGGACGGATACGCATTAATGGCAGCGAACAGTGACACCACTGCTTGGTTTATTATAGGGAGAGTGCTGCTGGCATACTTAAGTGTACTTGCCCCAGGGTTCTCTGTTTCTATCCCTGCTGCAGTGCTTTGTGATGATGCTTTTGGTTACTGGTTAGTTAACCTGTAGCCTGATCATATCTGATCCCTCCTGATCCTTGCAGTTTCTTTGTCGGTACAGGTTGGTTTTTTTTTTTCCACTCACTGCAGCAGGTTACGCATTAATCTTTGCACAGTCTTGGAACCGGGGATAGGAATTGCACTTTAAAAGTAGTTATTTCATTTTGTTGCTCGGTATCTGGTTTGTGTTTCACTGGGGTGTGGGGGGAGGGTTGTATGTTTTCTGGCACTTTTCTGTGGCCAGGCTATGTGTTTAATAAGTTTCCAATGCTATTTTTACTGTATTTTCAATTGGTAGCTATGCTGAGTTGGCACTTCGCTTGCTTTAGAGAAGGCTTTAAAAATGTTCTTTTACCATGCTATGACTTTTCTAATAAAGGGATCCTAGAGATGTAACTTTTCTTTGTGCATTTTTAACACTTCCTTCTTTCAGGACTTATACTCTAAATGAATACAGAATTGCTGTTAAAAAAATACTTCCATTTAATTAATCTTCTCAAATGGAAATGTCAATACCTTTTCCACTGGCAGGCATTTCACCCTATTGGTTTTGCAGGTTGATGGGAGGAAGCAGGAAGGGTTTATGTTCTGTTGTGTTCTGTGTGGGTTTTTTTGGTCTTGTTATTTTCACCTTGGTTTTCTGACAATTCATAGCCAAAGGAACCCAAAAATGTACATGATTTAGTCAGGCTTCATAGCTGCTCTGAGAGCTTAGGTGGCATGATATTTATGCCTGACTAGAGGAATGCATTTATTTGTAACATACTAATATGGTTGAAGGTGCAAGCACACATACAAATTTTCTGGTACCTTGCATAGCTACAAACCTTCCTTACAGATGAAAAAGAAGTAGTACTGTGGAGATACAGTCTGTTTCACTAGCTAGAGGAAAGATTTCCCTGTGATGGATGTTGTTGACAAAGAAGTTTTATGTGTTATTGTTTGGGCAATTAAATTAAGGCTCAAGTCATGCCTTCAGAATTAATAGCATAAAGGGTTTTTTTATAGTTAAGAATATAAGTTGTTGATCTGTACTGTTCTGCCCTGGATATAAAGAAGTGTAAGGTGCTTTTTCTCATATACAAAAGATAAATCTGCTCAAGTGTCCTGTAGGTTATAAAACATTTGTAATAGGAATGTCCATCTGTCCATACAGTGTGATAAATATACATATATATATATATAGGAATTGAGTGTTTTCAGTTAAATCTTGGAAGAGCAAACAAAATTAAGCATGAGGAACTAAGCATCATTCAGGTCAAAGTGTATTGTTATAATTTTCAGAAAATATTTCTGTATGAACTGATATTTTTATTACACAGGACCAGTGCTGTTTCTCCTCCTGCTATGCATTTTCTTGCTTAATTACAGTCTCCTGGGCTTTTAAATAAAGTAAGAGAGATGGTCTTTGGAAGGTGGCAACGTCCATACCTACTGTAGCTGAGAACTTGAACACAGTGTTTTGGACTATTAGATACCTTCCTCTGTGCTCATGTTTCTTGTTCTTTGTTTGCTTTAGCTCAAGCCTGGGAGAACATGATGAGTGCCTCAAGCCAGAGTCCTAACCCTAACAATCCCGCTGAATACTGTTCTACTATCCCTCCTTTGCAGCAGGCTCAGGCCTCGGGCGCCCTGAGCTCCCCACCTCCCACTGTCATGGTACCTGTGGGAGTTTTAAAGCATCCTGGAGCAGAAGGTAAGAAAGAGTACTATTTTCTTTCAATTTACCTGTAGTAAGAATTTGGAAAGAATGCCTGCACTTCATCCATTCCAAATACTCTAGCTAATGCCAGTTGTGATATTCCTGCCCTCAGTAGGGATATCAGGTTTTTAAGGACAAGTAAACTTTTCTCAGCAGATGTGTTTATACATGATGCTGCCATAGGAAATGCACTAGATGATGTCTTAAGTAACCTTCCAGTCCACATTTCTCTATTTATTTTTTTTTTCAGTTTTGCTCTTCTGTACTCAAATTTTCCTGTCAATGTTGCAGTGAGATCTTAAATCCTATTTTTTTATGTTCTCTCTAGTGGTTCAACCTAGAGAACAAAGGCGTGTTTGGTTTGCTGATGGGATATTACCCAATGGAGAAGTTGCCGATGCAGCAAAACTGACAGTGGCTGGGACAACTTCCACAGGAACCTTAGCAGTGTCGCATGATCCATCAAAGCCTGTGACCAACAACACTTTATCAGCAGAAGTAAGGAAGCGTTACGCTATTCACCGCTCAAAATACCATGCTTGCTTTGGTCATGAGTAGTATATTAGCTTCTGTGCTGATTTCAGTAAGACTGATCTAGGAAATCTGTTGAGGCTTGTTTTAGTATGTTGTATAGCAAGTGTCCTCACTTATTTTAACGTTTGCAGAGTGCTGAAACAACCATATATTTTGAACTGAAATGAACTATTATGGGGCAGAGCACTAAGCAATGTTTGAAATCTGTGTGCTAGGTGGCTTCCAAGTGTTTGGCTGTACAGCCTGTGTATGAAGGATATTTGTGTAATGCGTGTTTTAAAAAGGCTGAGTTATGGTCAGTAAGGAGTTTGAAACAGTAAGATTGTCATAGCACAAAGCAGAAGAATACTTTGTTTGACACTTCTCATAAAATGATGTATGCAGGAAAGTGCAGATATAATCTAACAATATTAAATCCACCGTACCCCATGTGAGTGGAATTGAGAGTTTGCAAAAAGTTCAGATGGGCATAGGTACATTTGGATTTTCTAAAGAAATGGGTATGTGCGGTGCTAGAGAAGGGAGATGCGGTCTTTGTCTAAGCAGGCTTTTTAGTAATAGTCCACATGCAGGAGTCATCACATAATCATATATTGTTAAAGAGCCAAATTACTTGGTGCTTCTGGTTCTCCAGCAGATACAGACTCCTTCACCTACATCTAGTAATCTAGTCAGCCAGCTCTTACATTTTTATTATTATTACTTTTGTAATGTTGTCCTTTCTTCTTGTTTGCTTCTTGTAGACTGATAATGCTTCTATATTCTCGGGAAATATAACTCAGGTTGGCAGTCCTGTTGGCAGTGCAATGAATCTAATTCCTGAAGATGGTCTTCCTCCAATTCTCATCTCCACCGGAGTAAAAGGAGGTGAGGGTATAATTTGGCAGCTAGCTTTTAAGCTTACCAGTTGCAATTAACCTAATAGTTACTGTGTTTATTTTAAAAATAAGATGCTGGCAGTGTGCTGAATATTTGAAGAAATTCACAGTAAGTACTCGTGGCTAAATGTTGTGACACTCATTTGCACCATTGATCCTTAGGAAGAACCCCATCTTGCAGTGAAATTACTGTAAGAAGTAAAACACAAAGCAAAAAGAAAATTAACTTCAGTCCAGAAATATGTGCTAATTTCTTCACTAATCGGACTGTGGGGAATGTTTCACACAGAGATACATTTTAATTAGCCTTATGAATATTCATGCTTCCCTTCTCTGAAATTCTCTTGGAACATCTGCTCTGTCTGAGGCATCCCCAAGCACTGCATTCAACAGCACTATTGCACATCTTGGCCCACAGTGAAGCTTTTCATAATTGTGATGTCCCCTTCCAGAGTATCCAAATGGAGGAGGATTCAGAAAATTAAAAACTAATTTTTAAAAGATTAAAAAAATGTATATATTTGTTTGTCTGACAATTGCTTTCCACAGTTTGATTCATGACATCCTTTAATACATTCCTGGGATTAACTTATTTTTTCATCTTTGATTTTTTTATTCCTATTAAATATTTTGCTGATACAGTGCATTTCTAATGTTAAGCTGGAAGTGACCTTTTATTGTAGGATAGTGTCAAAACCAAAATGTGAGCAGCATTAAATTTCAAAACAGATCTGTTCCATCCTGTGTTAGCTGTTCATATGGGTGCCTGATTATTCAGTCTCCTCCACAAAAAAGGAGTGAAACTGCAGTATACTTTTCAGCTTTCATATAGATAATCTCACATAAATTGTATTTTGTATGCTAAGTTGATGTTGTTTCATATGCTGTCACATACTGGATTTTCTTTGCAGCATTTTACTTCTGATATTCTAATTCTATTTAAAAAGATTCCAAAAACATTTTTCATATTAGAAAGCAGAATTACCTTTTTTCCTACATAATTTTAGATGGAAAGGTAATACATTTCTTTCAAAATCTGCTTTCATCAGTGTAACTATTTTTTGTTAAAGCTTAAATGCAGAGTAGTTTAAAATCACGTGGATGAAAAATTTTAATTTGCTAGTCATCTGGGTCTAATCATAGAGGGACACTACAGACATCTTTGAATTTTCATGTTGGGATCCATTTTACACTGGATTTAGACCTTCTATGATTTATTAAAAAATGGTGTTTTATATAGTGTTCCCCTCTTTGTTATCTTCCTAGTAGCTAATGCACAGAAAGTGTAAGTTATGTGACATAGGGATAGACCATGTATTGGTGTTTGTAGTCCAGAACTGATGCTCTTGTGCTTTACTGTGATATAAATAACAATTGTTAACTTCTTTGCCATTTGGGATTTTAGCTGACACCATGACACATTTCTCAATTTGACTTCCATTTTCTCCTCCAGTTGATACCGAAAAAAAGCTGATTTATGAAACAAGCTGCACTTTTCTAAAGGATGTACAGGGGTTATGCACATAAATGCTATTAAAGTTTGAAAATACCTAGGAAAACAATCAAACCAGCAATACTTAAATAAATTTTTTTTTAAAAGTCAAAAAAGCAAAAAGCATCAGAATCGGGGACTTCACTGTGTGTTTACTTGTTTCTTTCATAGACTATGCTGTAGAAGAGAGACCTTCTCAGATCTCTGTCATGCAGCAGCTGGAGGATGGTGGCCCTGACCCTCTTGTATTTGTTTTAAATGCGAATTTGTTGTCCATGGTAAAAATAGTAAATTGTAAGTTTTTATTATTAAATAAAGCTCGGGGTATGAGAGGGGAAATGTTATCTATATTATTAGTAGGAACAGCAGCATTTTTATTTGGTAGGATAGTGTCTGAAAATGTGCATGGATTGAAAACTTTGTACTTAGCCATATTAAGTTAAATTACAAAAGGCTCTTTTCCAGTGATTAGACATCAGTACAGGTAATTTTGTGTAGAAAATATAAAGTAGACTAATAGAGCCTTCAGTCTCAGGTTTGGAGATCAGTGTCTCCTGTCCAACTTGGTAGAGCAAGGTATTTTATCACTCATTCTTCCTTTGGTTGCTTAACTCATTTCCCTGTCATCCCATTCTGGAAAAAGCAGATAGGATCCCATAGGAATACACAGGTTCCATTCCAGTGTGCACCTCCTCTATCCTTTTCTATACTCTGTGTGTGTGCATGTGCTGAGGGAGGGAGGAATGAACGGGGAGGCATACAGATGGCTTCTCATGTTAGTACCTCAGTTGATCTCTGCTGGATAAGAAAACATTATTTGAGAAATTGAGGACAGTTTAGCAGTAAAATGTTTTGATTCTGTGAAAAGTTCATACAATAAATTAAAATGTTGTTTATAAACCTTTCAGCAGCTGGTTAGATAGCAGTACAATTTTTTACATGTTGTTGTGGTTTAACCTCGTCGGCAACTGAGTACCACACAGCTGCTCGCTCACTCCTCCCTCCACCCCTGGTGGGATGGGGGAGAGAATTGGAAGAGTAGAAATGAGAAAAAACTCATGGGTTGAGATAAAAACAGTTTAACAATTGAAATAAAATAATAATAGCAATACTACTACTGCTAATAATAATAATGTAATAATAATAATAATACACAAAGCAAGTGATGCACAGTGCAATTGCTCACCACCCGCCAACCGATGCCCAGCCAGTCCCCGAGCAGTGGCCCCCCTGGCCAGCTTTCCCCAGTTTATGTACTGAGCATGACGTCACACGCTATGGAATGTTTCTTTGGCCAGTTTGGCTGTGCTCCCCTTCTAGCTTCTTGTGCACCCCCAAGCCTTCTCAGTCGGTAGAGCATGGGAAGCTAGAAAGCCCTTGACTAGTGTAAGCATTACCTAGCAACAACTAAAACATCGGTGTGTTATCAACATTATTCTCATCCTAAATCCAAACCACAGCACTGTACCAGCTACTAGGAAGGAAATTAACTCTATCCCTGCCGAAACCAGGACACATATATATAAAAATGTCATTAGTATGCATATATATACATATCAGACAAAAGATTTTATTTCAGTAACTTAGTATTCTCAACAAATGAATTGTGAAGCCTAGAGCATGTGTCATCAACATTCATGTGAAGCAGAACAACACAGTGACATCTCATGAAAACACCTGACATCCAGCTATCCATCTTAAGAGAGAGATTCACCATCTGAAACTGGTTTAGCTGTCAGGATCATGATACGCACAGCCAACAGCCTGGCCTTTTCCCAGGTTCCTTCACTCCCATTTAAAGCTTGTCCTTTAATTTAGATACAGAAACTGCTGAATGTCTGCTCTGTGGTGTTAATCCCAAGATGTGACTAGGAGCTGTAATGCTCTGCTTCTTCCTTAGCCGTAAACTGGGAATTATTGAGCTGCTTTTGTTTTGGATGTGCTTGCTTGCAAGGTAACAGATTTAGAACCTAATTTGTCTGTGTGGCAGATATTGCAACCAAACATGCTGTAAAACTGATTCTTGAAAGAGCTATCTTCCTGTAGTGAAATTTAGGCATATTTTATGAAATTCTGATCTTCTGTCCTGATACATGTTTTCCTCTCTGCAGATGTGAACAGGAAGTGCTGGTGTTTCACTACAAAAGGCATGCATGCAGTGGGGCAGTCAGAGATAGTAATTCTCTTGCAGTGTTTGCCTGATGAGAAATGTTTGCCTAAGGATATCTTTAACCATTTTGTGCAACTTTACCGGGATGCCTTAGCAGGTAGGAAGGCTCTCTATTAAAAATGGTTTGGATAGATGATCGTACTGGGTCAGATGATAATCACATTTTTGTCATTTAGCAAATGGCTATTTTTGTATAAAAAGAATATAAAAAGAGAGTAAGGATCAAAGCTGATGGGCTGGGTTGTTATTGGTTATTAGTATCCAGTGTTATATTCATCTCACCAAATAAAAGTATTAATGAGGTGCTGGTAACCTGTGGAGCTGCTCCAAAGATCCTCCAGCCTTCCTCTGGGTGCCAGCAGAACAAAGAAGTCTGGGCTATGAAGGCCATGCATAGGCTATTACAGCAGTGGAGCAGGAGGACTCTTGCCTGTGACAACTTTGTGTTCAGCAGCCATTGCTGACTGTCTGCTCTGGCTGCTTCTGCTAGGTGCTGGGGTAAGAATTTGAATATGGCTAACATATCTGAAATTAGTACTGTACTTCATTTAGCAGTAAGTGTAGTACAATACTCAGCAGAGCTCATGGGTACACTAATGACATTGCTGCTAATAATTTTGAAGTCAGGGTAGCTTTTTTAAAGATAAAGAAAGAAAATTTTGAGAATCCTTGTGGATAGTTTGTTAAATATCCCCAAACCAGGTAGTTCAGAAATTTGATTCCCACAGTGTGTGTGTCTATTGCCACATTATGGAGATATTATTTATATTATGAAGTAATACAAATATATATATGTGTGTGTGCCTGGAATGAATTGTAGGGCATTGCAGAAATTATCCCTGAATTTTGAATTTTAGTATCTCAATTGCAAGATTGTATTATGTAAACCTTTACCTATTTTACATTTGCTAAGTAAATGGGCTTCCACTTTTAGCTATAGTTGGACCTTAGAATTCAAAAATTATTGCATAAGGAAAAATGCAAGTATTTGGTTCCACTGATTAGAAAATAAAGCTAGTTTTCCAGAGGTGAAGTTGGATCACATTAAGGTTATATACTGAAAACACATTTATGACAGGTTCTGCATATCATTTGCAATGCCTTTGGAGTGACTGAATCCAACACTTTAATAAAATAATGAAAAAGATCTTTGTTTCCTAAAATGTCATGATACAGCAAAGGTCAGCTTGTCCAGAGAGGTTGCCGGGTTCAGAATGTACTATTATCACATGTCATAATGGATCTCGTGTACACTGGAAACAAATACCTTTCCAAACCTCACTTCATTTGCAATGCTTTATCTTCTAATTATGATGTTATTCAGAGGGAGATAGATATGAAAAATTGTGTGCATGCGTGTGTGTGTGTGTGTGTGTGTGTGTATTGCAGATATAAATCCAGCTTGGTGTGTATATTGCAAAGAAGTTCTGTATAATTACACTACAGGAATACATAATTTATAACTCCTACATAATGTATTTGGAATTCTTTTTTTAGTGCTCTAGTGGTAGTAATTTGATATCCTACAATTGCACTGGTGCAAAGAGCTGCTTACTATTGTACAATTCTTAGTCAGAAACCAAATTTCACTGTTTAAGAATTCCACTGTGTAATATTCTTTTGGTAGGATTTGCTCTGTGTTGTATTTAGACATGTAGTAGAAGTAGATAGACAACTTGAGTTGCTATATAACACCAAACCTCACTGAAGTTTTTGTAGAACATAGCACCTTGATAAATTCCCATAGCATTTTGTAATGCACTCTCTCAATATCCATCCTTTTTTCTTTCCAAGTCGCGTGTGTTTGAGAGGGAGAAGTATATGTTAGCATATGTGCAACTCTGGATGTTTTAAACGTTATTCAGCCAGAGAGACAGGATATGATGCTGTACGGGTTTCAGTTTGGTGGTTGTAATCCCTTGGAAGTGACTAGCTGTTTGCATGCTGTTGTAGATGGAGCCATGCTTCCAAAGTTGTTCATTTCAGAGGTACTGCACCTCTCCTGGTGGTTAGATGATAGACATTTAGAGTGAATGAGAATTCCCATTAGAAGTTAGAGACTATTTAAAACCCTGCCTCACAGTTCCATTTTTCGTTATGTAACATATTGGTTTAAATTTATTTTGCCATCAGGAAACTGAAATAAATTCTGTGGATGTTTTTTATTTATTTCCTTTAGTAAATGTTTTCTTAAAAACAGTCATAAAATAAAATGATGTAGTATTTTTTATGGACATAGAAACAAGAATTACGTTTAGGGATGTTGATTTTGTTTTGGAGTGATTTTGGATTTCTTGTTCTTGTTTTCAGCTGAAAAATACAGCATTCCCCTTTTGTTTATTTAATTAAAGCCCATATCTATAGCGATTTTTATTTTTGTGAGTCTCATTTATTTACTAGCTCTTCTTGCTCAAGTTTGAATTCTGTGTTCAAGCCTAGAAGCACAAAGTTATATGTACTCATGCCTATTCCCAGATGTTTCTGCTTTTCTCAGAGGATAGCTTGTTTCTTGAGGCCAAGTCCTGTCCTCTGTGCTAGGTATTGCTCTCAGCCGTTTGCAGAGTATGGTTCCAGCATGTGCAAGTAGTGCCTGCGAGCAGAGCCGAGGCCTCAGACCTGCAGGCAGGAGCACTTAGTCTGTACACTGAATTCTTTGCAGATTGTCCTTCGGCTTCATCTCCTATTTCAGCATGGATAAGATGTCTGCCTGGTGCAGCACTGCCCTAAACTTTAGATTAGTTTTCTTATGGGAAGTCTTCAACCTCAAGCTATGGTCTGGTGTTAGGACTTTATAACTGTAAAACAACAGAGAGATTTTGAAGGAAAAATGGCATTTTTCACTATAGGTTGTATGCATGTGAGTTATAATAAATTGTAAAGCTGTTAATTAAGGCAAGTATTAATTGCTGTTCACTTTCCATCACTTTATTTTCCTCAGGCCCCTCTGTCATCAAGCTCCCTGCTGTGTTGCTTTTCTTGTTGTAAAATTGAAAGCTAATGATTTCTGTTGTGGTTGTAGTAGTTGTACTGTTGTAGTAGTAATCCCATGATTATCCTTGTCTGTTGGCTATAAGCCTGGCAGGAGGTCTAGTGAATGGAAAACTGAGAACTTCTGTCCATCTGAATGGGTACTTTGAAGCAGTTGGATGTGTTAATATAGAGCTGCCAGCTATGCCCTAGTACATCAGCTCTTCGGTGGAATACAATAAATGCTACTGTTACTTTTATAGTGAAAATGCAAATTTGGCAACTGCTTGAAATGGCTTTGTGATTGCCTTGGTTTGGGGGACATTCCGGGTGAGGGTGGACCTATCCCAGTCACAGTTTTGTGTATTTTTAACCCCGCCTGGTTTTAATTAAATAAGGTGGTAGCTAATACAGAGTAGATCTATAAAGAAGCCCATGTAGATGTTCTGAACAGAGAACAGGTTAACTGAGGGAATAATACACCCCTGCAAGTGTAATGTGGAAAGATGGATACAGAATCAGACATCATATAAGGTGTGAGAGTGATTGTTTGGAAGACTGCCGCAGACTAGGCTGAGGAAGCTCTGGATGCTGGTAACGGCTACTCACAGTGAGAGTAAGTGAAGCATTATGTCCCTTGCCAATATGAACAAGTTCTTTCCAAATTACTTGCTGATGTGTTTCAATAAAAAGATGCTGAGTATGGTCAGAACTTTGAATGTTGAATTTCATATGTTTTTTCTCAATGCTGGCATCTGCTACAGTTGTGTTGTGCCATCAAGTGACATTCACGGTCTTGTCTCTTCTGTGTCTCTTTGTGGCTCTTGGTGTCATAGTGACTGGGTTTATATTGCTTTTCCAAAGAGTATGTGCTCTTTTCTTGAAGAAAATCCATCTGGCAGGATTGTTCCCAGGCAAATATTGCTTTGCATCTCTTGCCACAGAACTGGGTTGCTTGGGTTTTCAGGGTGCTGGCATGGTGTTTGGTACTTGGCAGTTCTTGGTTGTTACTCATGACAGTGGAATGAGGCTGGACAGATGCAGCTAACTTCCCCAAGCCACATGTATGCCGTCCCTGAGACTGGATGCTAATACCAGCTTTTTGACCTGGGATTAACCAAAAGATACAAAGCATACATTAGGAATTCAACCTCACTGTTTTTGGTAAAAGCGCCTAACTGGCTTCGCCACATATTGAGGGCAATAAACAAATGCAGGAATCTTTTTTTCTTTACCTTTCCTGGTATAAACTATTTTATTTGAATCCAGAAGGGATTGCCAAACTGATATGCAAGGTACATTGTTCATCAGAGGAAGATACCTAAGTGAAGAATACAAAACAGCATGGATCATGACTGAAGAGAAAGTCACATCAGTGGATAAAAAAGCATGTTTTCTTAAAGGACTTTATAGAGCTGCTTAGGATTTAAAGTCAAGGGTAACCCAGCATAACTGAGAAGAGAATAAGTACTGACCTCCTGCAGAGCTGCTTTAGATGCGTGGTGCACACTTAAGGCACTTCCTAAATAATGTCAATTGTCTGATGTCAGGTGCTGGAACTTAATATAGGGAAAGGCACCTTTCTGTTCACTCTGAGATTACCTCTTTAGAAAGGAAGTTGTGATATTTTGTAAACTAAATTACATGCTTTTGAGAAGGATAGCTTTTTTTGAAGGTTTTTCTGACAGCTACACTTTCTCTACAAGCTTTTGAAACACAGTTCTATGCTTAAAATGTGTAATGGTGCAGTGGGTGGGGTTTGACCATGTCAAGCTGGTAATAGCAGCTTATCAGTGGGGCCTTGACTTGGAACCACCTTCAAAGATGTGACAGGAAAGGCTGACAACCCCTGGTCAGTGCAGAAATGTTTGTGGGACAAGCCCAAAGCCCAAAGAGGCTTTTTGACTTGGGTTTGCTGGTTGGAAAGGGCACTAGAGAGGTGTGTAGGAAAACACTTGCTTGATTCTTCCCATGCTCTCCACACAGCAGGCTCTTGCATGCTCTTATAAATAATGCATTGCAGCACAACTACCTAATCCCAATACTTTGTTCTCTTAATAGCGGTAACCTATTGGAGCTTGTACTGTGCAAGCTGCTTGTGTCAAAAGGAGTAATTTATAACGCTGTGGCTTATGGTAGCAAAGTGCTGAACAGCTGAGTTGCAGATTCCACTCTGAGGGTTTTTTTCATGTTTCTGTTGGCTGAAAAAATTCTTGTTAAGGCATCCCAAGCATGTGAGCCTTGAAGCTCCATCTCCTGAAACGGAAAAAATAAGTAGTCGTCCCCTTCTGCTGCAGCACTTAGCATCAGTCACAACTGGAAATGTCTGATTGCTTTGTCATCCCAGTGGGCAGTACCACACATCTCAGAACTATACGGGATTGTACAGCTTCACTTTGCCTAGCCTCTTTCACACAGAAAATACTTCAGAAAAGGGTGCAGAATTCAATTCAGTTTAGCAGTTCATACACTTCATACATTTTAAGGTTAGAAAGGATTATTATGGTCATGTTGTTGGAACTGAGAACCTCACCAAGTAATTTTACTATCAGGCCTATAGCTTCTATTTGGGTAAGAACAGAAAGGAAGGGAAAAAAGTATAAATGAAGAAGAGGAGATCAGTGAGGGTAGGTGGGAACTGCAAAAGCAAACGAGTGGAGTTGAGATAGAAAGGTGCCAGCAGCTATTTTAGATAAGTGAAAATCTTTTTCGTGAACACTGATTGGTATATTGGTTTGCACTCACTAGCAAGATGCCTGAGTTGGTGCATTAGCAGTGTATTCACGGAGCAGGCAATAGTGTCACAGCACAGGCTGACAGAGAAATGCATTTGCACATGGGCAGGATTAATGATTTTCAGCAGCTGACAAAATTTGATGTGGCTCTATTAATCATGCTAGTCCTTCAGTTTGACCAGTAGCTACTTTTCATCAAGTATGCTCTGCTGAGCATTACAGAAGTTGTAGCCACTACAATAGTTCTGGAATTTGATCTGGGTTGGTGGTGTCAGCTCTGGCTTGTGTGTATCTGTAAAATTAAAAATGCAAAGTAGCATGGCCACATCTCCAGAGTGAGGGCAGGAATAGCTGTATTATTCTCATGCTGGCGCTGGCTTCATGGAGGGTTGCTACAACTTGGGACTTTCATAGAGGTTCAGTGTAGAGGACAGACTTGAAAGGACTCGTTGGTTAACGTTTCCTTTGCTGGCCAAAACTATATCTACTGTATTTATTTTTCTTGCATTTGTAAATGCTTGTGTATGATTTTTAGGCTGTTTTTGCAGTATAAGAATAGAGAAAGCTTAACTTGAAGATCATACTTGTATTACTGAGGATGTCAAAGTTGCACTTTTGTGATTCATATTTTTACTTACTTAAAACCTAGTGTTTGTGTGTCTGTGTGTGTCTCCTGTGTGTAAATGGGAGAAACCCTCCAGTTATTGTCCAGTTGATGTGCACGTTGGAGACAACAAGGATTACTGCCTTGAGTTCAAATACAAACACTCCATTATGAGGTGGTGGAGAAAGAGCAGAAACTCCTACTTAGCAGTCTCTCTGTCTGCAGGTGGGAAAGCCTGGGATTACTGCAGAAGCCCAGGAGGTCTGCATGAGTGCCTTAAACCCAAGCGATTCCTCATAAGTGGTGTGATCAACCACACCATGCTCTCTGAAATTACTTGTGTTTTTCTTTGAGAGCAAATCAGCGCTATTAATATTCACGTCTTCCTATGGAGAATTGTGATCAGCTGTTCTGTACATTATTTGCATGCTGTTGTTGTCATTTGATAAAAGGAATCACACCATGGTTCTTTGCGTCAATGTTGAATGCTATGTTGGATGCTATAATAATCTAATCAACATTCAGATTCATTCAGCCATTCCAGTGTAAACATTTTTGGAAATTAAGAGCATCAAAGAATAAAAATGTGAGTAAAAATTAGTGATGTTTCTCCCCTGTGTCTCTCTCAGTTGCATTTTACATTAAGCATGCTAATTAAATAAACACTCTTTTGTGTAATTCTTAAAAAGACCCAGATCTTTACTATGTGTCTGAGCAGGCACCCCAGTGGTTTGCCTGAATGGAGGGACAACCAACCAGTGGGCATTAATCGTTTGACCAGGTGCATATCTCTCCTTTAATCGCAGATGGGTCTAAAAGTTTAGTTCAGTCAACGAGCAGCTTCTGCATTGGAAACCCCTTGAATATCTGGAAGACACTGAAAACAGGCTTTCTTTGGGTGCTTTTGTAGTGCTAGGGGGAGGTTGCAGGTACCACCTCCTTAGCAGCAATACTGGCCTGAGCTATCCTTCCTCTTTCCTGGCTATCCCCGGGATGCATCATCCCCTCCATTACACTGACTCAACTACTCGAAACAGGCAGATCTCCATGAAACAAACAGGCAGATCACAGAAATGGTTGAGGCTGGTGTCCCTTCCTGCTCCCCCAGGAGAGGTGGTAGGTCTGTGGTTGTACGTACTGTCCTGGTAACACTTGCAGGCATGGCTTAGTCAGTCAGGTGCAGAAATGAAGGTATGTGTGCATGTTCCTACAAAACTGACTTCCTACCAGTGATAGTCACTGAGTACGTGTATCACCAAAGGTGGATCAACCAGAGATTGATGGCTTTGGTGGCTCTAGTCTAGAGCAGTTATTCCGTAACAGGTTATGCACTTTTGCACCGGAGGTAACCTGAGCAGGTAACCTGAGTGTGCAGCAAATCATTGTTTCTTGTGTGATTAATAGATGTTAGTGCTTCAGGAAGCAAAGTGAGTTTAATAGGGATTTTTTTTCCCTTCTAAAAAACTCTAAATTCTTGATATAGCTCTCAATCTAGTGAAGTAATGAGCATTTTTGTTCATAGGTAATGTTGTTGGCAACCTGGGACACTCCTTTTTCAGCCAGAGCTTCCTTGGAAGCAAAGAACATGGAGGGTTCTTGTACGTTGCAGCTACGTATCAGTCCCTGCAAGACTTGGTGCTCCCAACCCCACCGTACTTGTTTGGCATCCTCATTCAGAAATGGGAGACTCCCTGGGCTAAAGTGTTCCCCATTCGGCTGATGTTGAGACTTGGAGCTGAATACAGACGTAAGTAACATGCATTCTTTTAGCTGCAGTTACTTCTGCAGGATAATATATTCCGGTTTAGAGCACACACACAGAGCCCTAAATTGTTACCTGTCAAAGCCACACAAGCTTAAACAGGCAAGTAAAAATTATGTTTTATACCCGCATTGCATCCAATTAACAGCACAGCAGTACTGAGGTTGTGATATGACCCACAGCCTTTTTACAACTGTACTAGTTGATCAGGGAGATTTTTGTGGAGACAAATCTAGTTCTGCGCAGCTGTTTGTAGTTCACTTAGTGACCTGAAATAGGGTTATGTGCAGAACAAGTCTGATTTAGCTGGTGGTAGTTAGGACAAGGGAGAGCCTT